GGGCTTTGGGGATGGGGACGTGGGGGCTTCTGGGACCTTGAGGATGGGGGCTTTGGGGATGGAGGACATTGGGGACATTGGGGAGCTTGGGGTGGGGGGTCATGGAGACCCTAGGGATGGGACATTGTGGATGGAGGACCTTGGGGATATGGGGACCCTGGTGATGTGGACCTTGGGGGTGGGGGACCTTGGGGACATGGGGACATTGGGGACTTTGGGGTGGGGGTCATGGAGACCCCAGGGTTAGGACGTTGGGGATGGAGGACCTTGGGGACCTGTGGACCTTGGGGACCTTAGGATTGGGAGACCTTGGGGACATGGAGACATTGAAGACCCCAATGATGGTGACACTGGGGGTGGAGACCTTGGGGACATTGAGGACCTTGGGGATGGGGACATGGGGACCCCAAAGATGGGGACATTGGAGATCCTGGCGATGGGGACACTGGGGATGGGGACCTTGAGGATGGGGACATGGAGACCCTGGGGAAGGGGACCTTGGGGATGGGGAATCTCGGAGACATGTGGACCTTTGGGGACATGGGGACACTGAGGACCCCAGGGAATGGGATCATGGGGACATTAGGGACCCTGGGGACGGGGACATTGTGGATGGGGGACCTTGGGGACCTTGAGGATGGGATCATGGAGATCCCAAGAATGGGGACATTGGTGATGGGGGGCTTGTGGACACGGGGACCTCGGGAATGGGTGACCTTTGGGACATTGGGGAGCCTGATGGTGAGGGACATGGGGACATGGAGGACCCCGGTAATGGGGACATTGGGGATGAGGACCTTGGAGACGTTGAGGGCCCTGGGGATGGGGACAGTGTGGTTGGGGACCTCGGGGTCATGTGAACCTTGGGGACCTTGGGGATGGGGGACCCCTGGGACATGGGGACATTGAGGACCTCGGTGATGGGGACATTGGGGATGGGGAACCTTGGGGATGGGGTCATGGAGACCCTGGGGAGGGAGACTTTGGGGATGGACGACCTTGGGGACACATGGACCTTGGGGACATGGAGACCCCAAGGATGGGGACATCAGGGATGGGGAGTTTTGGGGACATGTGCACCTGGAGGACCTTGGGGATGGGGGACTTTGGGACCTCGGTGATGGGGACATTGGGGATGGGGAACCTTGGGGATGGGGTCATGGAGACCCTGGGGAGGGAGACTTTGGGGATGGACGACCTTGGGGACACATGGACCTTGGGGACATGGAGACCCCAAGGATGGGGACATCAGGGATGGGGAGTTTTGGGGACATGTGCACCTGGAGGACCTTGGGGATGGGGGACTTTGGGGCCAAGGGGACAATGGGGACCTCAAGGCTCCAGATGGGGACACTGGGGCTGTTGGGGACATTGGGGACACAGTGTGTGTGGGGGGGGAGGACACACTGCTCCAGCCCCTCGCCTCCCCATTAACCCCCTGTGTGCCGGTCCCCAGGCGCCGAGCGCGGCCCCCCCAGCGGGGGGTGACACCGAGCAGCTCTACAGGTACGTTGGGGACATTGGGGGGACACTGAGGGGACATTGGGGACATAGGGGGACATGCCACCACCCTGTCCCTGTTTCCCCCTCCTCCCCAGCACGGTACACAAGGCCC